GAATTAAGTTACAACACCAAAACGAACAAATTAAAGAGGAGAATAAGAGATCATTATCGATGTTTTTAAGGGTAACAATCGTGCAACAGATCCATCCAAACCCCATATCGAAAAGCTCATAAAATGTTTGCCGGAAATTTACTACCGTCCTTTCGGATTCATGATCTGAGAGAAGACAGCACTCGGGGTTAACCCATCAGAGTCCTCACTTGCAAGGCTCCTCCCACCAATGCTCATCGACAGCCCGCTACTTTTCGAATCTGTGATATTTCCATCGAACCCCAATGATGAATCAGGATCCTTCTTGCACGTACTCTCATACGACTCAATATCAAGCCCTCCTCCGAGGCCCTTCCCACTTTCCTCCGCACTCTCCTGAAGCTGCAGTGCAAACTCGAGGTTCCACAGCACATCCCCCATCGAAGGCCTGTCCGTCCCCACATCACACACACACTTGACAGCTGTCTCAGCGAATTTCTTGAAGCACTCAGGCGCAATCTTCCCTTTTAGATAAGGATCGATTATCTGGTCGAGAATGCCCTTGTTGTAACAGTGCTGTGCCCACTCAGCCAAGCTGACCTGTTCCTTGGGGAGCGTAGGGTTGAGAGCCGGCCGGGCGCAGATGATCTCAAAAAGCACGACCCCGTAGGAGTAGACATCGGACTTTTCAGTCAGCTGCTGCCGCCTGAAGTACTCTGGATCAAGATACCCAAAACTGCCCTTCACCACAGTGCTGACGTGGGTGTGATCGAGGGAGGGTCCAGTTTTCGAGAGGCCAAAGTCAGAGACTTTAGCCACCCACTTCTCATCAAGGAGGATGTTTGTCGTTTTAACATCACGGTGGATTATGGTGTGCTTTGCCCCGGTGTGTAGATAGTGAAGGCCACGAGCTGCGCCTATGCAGATCTCGAGGCGCTGCTTCCACGGCAGAGGAGGCTTCTGAGTCTTGTAAAGATGCTCACGAAGTGTCCCATAAGCCATGTAGTCGTACACAAGGATCATCTCACAGTTCTCCTCGCAGTATCCAATTAAAGAGACCAAGTGGCGGTGTCGAAGCTTGGAGAGCATTTCTATCTCGGTTTGAAACTCATGCACGCCTTGCTCGGATAGAGGGTTCCCCCGCTTGATAGCCACTTTTGTCCCACTGTCGATCTCCCCACGGTAGACCTTCCCAAAGCCCCCCACTCCAAGCAGGAGGGCCTCATCAAAGTTGTTCGTGGCAGCTTTGATATCGGCGATCGAGAAGTGGCGGCATAGGTTTGACGGGAGGGACGAGGCATAGCTCCCAGTCGTGTTGGTCTTGGCAGAGCCTGACGAGTGTGAGTTCCCGTACAGGGACAAAGGTAGCCAGCCATCACTCGTGGTGGAGTCCTTTCTTTGCTTCCTGCTTCGGGATATGAGGCACACGCATAAGCCGAGAAGGAGGAGAGCGGCTATTCCGCCACCAACCCCACCTGCAATAGCGGCTGTATTATTATTATTTCCACCGGATCCAGAGTTGGCCGGAGGCGATTCATCGTCCGGCGTCGGAGGAAGTGGTTCCGGATTCAGGCCGGCAAGGCTTCCGGTGGTGTCGTTTATTTTAAACACTTCGAGCCCGTTGAGAATGGCGTCGTAGTATTGTGGCCTTGATGCTGTGTAAGGATGCAAATCGAGCCAGAGCAGCTGCTGGGGAGGCCCTGTAGGGACCAACACAATGTAATCCCTGTGAATGGCAATTCCATTATTTCCATCACCTCCTTCCCAAGCGATCACGTCTGCTGCCTGCTCCGCAGTCTGATTATTAAGGAAGATGGTAAAGACCCTCTGGTTCACTCTCGTGATGACATCTGTTACCTCGCAGAAGTGCAGCCTAACGAGGTATGAAAAACCCGAATCGATGTTTAAATTCCAGGTGAGATTGTAATTCTGATTGACAGACGAGTTAGGTCCCATAGACCTCAGAGTCCTGTACACGTCGAGTGGGGCAACGTAGTTCGGTGATCCAGGGGCAAAAGCAACCGTAATGTTCGGGTCTGGAACCTCCGTGACACCAATTGCCGCGCTGAAAATGTAGTTCGTGTCATCACGCCATGACCGGAAAAGACCCGTGTCGCCGGAGGGCGAAATATCATTCCCACCCACATTCAGCCGGTAAAGATTCTCGAGAGCCGTGCTATTGTCGATGTTGAAACCAGTGGACTGGCCCACCACATTCGCTGTCCCGTCTGTGCTGTAGATGTCGGGATGAGACACGATTTCGATCCCATTCACAAACGCGTATGTGTTTGACGAGTTTGGTGAAGGGGTGAAGGTGATGTTTAGCGCTTCGGACGGGACATTAATGGAGAACTCCTTCATGATGTAATCGTAGTTCAGTGCCTGCGTTGTGAGTGCAGCACTAAAGTTCCTCATAAGCGTGAATG